ATGATTTGAGTCCATTATTCCAATGAAATTCAGATTTAGATTGTCATGGTCTTTCTGTCATGGTTCGACAGGGGAGGACGAATTTGACTCTGTAAAGGGATGTCCTTGCATGATACTTATTTCCAATTAGCTATTGACCCTTCAAGCTCTCTTCTCCTGGCTGTGCTTCATACTGATGTTCATTTTAGATGATTATGGATTTTGCTATTACTCTACATTCAGGCACCAGTTCTGATGCTCAATCTGTTCATTGCCCAATTCTTGGCAAAAATTTGGTGGTTATGGAACTGTTCTGGCTTCATTTCCAAAGTCTGCTCTCCTACATGCTGCCTTCTGCTCTAGCCTTTGCAGACCATAATGAGACAGGAGTGGATCTGTGAGGTTCATTAAAACACATTTTACCCATAGCATAAACAGTCCACTCATACCTGCACCAACCCCCATTTGTTTGTAAGAAATGCACATAAAAAGACAGATTTACATTCAATCTATGAGGTCGCTAAGAGTCAACGCCAACTTGATGGCACACAGTTGTCATCATTATCATCATCATTGTATGGCAGGACACCTAAGCAAAGGGTGTCCTTGAAGTACATTTCTGGATGCTCTGTTGTCTCCTCCAAATTTTAGTCCTCTGACTGACCTATTCCTGGCTTCCTTTCGCTTTACCCTTAGTGCTCCTCTCACCATTCATGCTTATCAGGTTACTCAGTCATGCATTATGCTTATTCTCTCTACCCATCTAGCTACCATGCATGCTTGTTCCTTTTACCCATACTTTAGCTTATTTGCTCCACCATCCACCAAATGCACTTGCTCCTTCACCTAGCCATCATGTTCACTCACAGTCTCATAACACACCTGTGTTCACTTGTTTCTGTTCCCTATAGTGCAGTTTCTGAAAAGCCAGCCACTTAGCAAGTTGCTAATGAAAAGAAACACATATTTTTTTAGACAGAACTTTTAAACAATCTGTTTTAAAAACTCAAATGAACCAGATTACTGCCCTAATAATACAGAGTAGAATGGGCAGGTTTGCCATTGAACAGTTCCTGCCTTGGCACTAAAAATTGCTGTATTACTTCTAGATTATCTACTGTATCTTCATATTCATCCTCAAATCTCCTTGTAGTGTATAGTTCCTAACAGTAAGACTGGTGCGTATGTGGGTGTATGGAAGCCGTTCCAAGAAAATATGAAGATTGAATATTTATCTTTCACAGTTTGCACTTCTCCAAGTGATGTGAAGCAGTTCTCAGTTCAAGAAAGAAAATATGTACAGGTAGTCACCGGGTTAAGAACACTCAATTTACGGACAACCTGTATTTAAGAGCGGAGCCTATTGTAGCAAAATTCAAGTTAAATACACAATGATTCAAGTTAAATACACAATG